ACTTCCCATATTCTTGAATTGGTACAAAAATATGTAGGTTATATAAACACAGTGAAGGAGTCTAGTGTGGAAAAAAACACTGAACCTCAAAACACACTACTTTGCCATTGGCAAGAAGTTCATGTCGAAGTTTCTTGCTTTAATTCCAAAAGCATTCCAGTAAGAACCAGGATACATTGCTAATGATGATGAAAAGAATGTGAGTACACAAGTAGCCATCTGTCCTCATACCCTTCCCAACATCCCTCCTTCACTCTCCCCAAGGGTCTACTTGAGGGTGGAGAGAACAATCATATTTCTACCAGTGCCTTATAGTTGCTCTTGTGTTCTCTCTGGTTACAGCATATTTAAGCATCTGAAAGCAGGGAGCCGCAATTATATGCCTTTCAGTAGCAGGATAAATAAAACACATTTATTGTGCTGTCGTTGTTGTTAAGTGCCGTTAAGTCAGTTCTGACTCATAGTGACCCTATATAGGGTTTCTGAGGAGCAGCTGAGTTTGAACTACCAACCTTGGGGTTCAAACTAACCTTAAGGTCGAGTGCTTATCCTATGGTGCCAAAGCAATCCTTTTTCCAAAGCTATCATGTTAAACTGTATGTGTGATGTAAAATACTTGTCCTATTCTTAGGTATGATCATATTCAGAAGTAAACACATCTCTAGTGTTATGATAAAATGCCATAGAAAAATTCTATAATTTCTACAAACATTAGTCACATTAATTACATTATGTAAAGTGTACACAGTCAACACTATTACATCCATCAATTATTATTCATCTATCAATTACAATTTACCTTTCTTAAAAATTCCCCTGGCTATCCCAGCCAAGATGAATCATTCCCTTTCATGAACTGCCCCTGAAACTTTTAGAAACAGTGGGAACTGAATTATTTACTGACACACATTTTATTAGATATAGGTTAGTGTATCAGTTCCATCTCTGATTTCAACTCTAACATCTATAGTTCATGTACTTTCATAACATTAAAGCAAGTTTTCTCTCCCAGGTAGCTCTACCTCAAGATAGCTATCACCTGAAGAAGAACTGAAGCAAAACCAGTTCTCTGAATGAATATATTAAGCTAATCCCATCCATCAGCCATGTTCTGTCCTCAGCTCTACTTCTGTCCTCTCCTTATGGGGTCCCCTCTTCCTCCAGAGTTTCATGAGTTCCTCTCAATGGTTTCCCCAGGACCATTTGCCCCTGCACAGAGATTGGGCTCCTCATTCTCTGCTCCTGCCACATGTCCATCTCCAATTCTTACACGCTGCTTGCTAACCTCATCTCAACTACTCCCAATTGACACCAATTGACATCTAAACACAGTAACCAAATGTTATTGAATAAGTCTGAGGACTCCTCACATGTGTTCATTACAGCACTCATGAAGTTAGGTTGAAATATTTGCCAACCTATCTGTCTGTCCCACTGAACTATGAGCTACCCAGTCAGGTCTGAATTTTATTCATTTATGATTCCCCAGTCACATCATAATGCCTAGTATGAAGTGTAAATTTGTTTGTTAAAGAACAAACAAACAAAAAAGAAGGTAAAAAGAAATGAAGACAGGAAGGGAAGGAAACAGGTCCATAAAAAGTTTATAAAATAGGTACTTGCACAATCTTAAGGATTCCTAGACACCTTGTGTTAGTGAAGCTTCCCATACCCTTCCTCCCTGCCACCATGATCCTGCAGCCTACAAATAAGCATGACATATGATTTGCTGACAGCGCCCCATCCTGATTGTTTCTGGACAGCTGTATTTTTTCCCAAGGTGCTCAGGAAGATAATCTCTGAGCACTGAGCCCCAGTCACTAAGGTGCCCTCATGCCCAGGTAAAGGCTCTTTAGTTCCAGAATGCATCACAGGCAGGTGTAGGGCAGGTGAGATTTGGAAGAGAGGGTTGTAAATATTGAGAACAGAGAAGTAGTCAGCCAGCCCCTAAATGGCAGAGACGTGCTGCTTGCCAAAGTGTTTTCTATTTATTCTGTAGACAACAGGTATGTAAACCCACAAGTAATCTTATTCTCTAACCTCCCATTCTTTCTTATCCACCTCATGTGACCCCATCCTCTTAAATCTGGCTATACGTTAGTCACATGGGCAAACATTTAAAATCCTAATTCTTAAACTGAACTTTAGGCTGAGTCAGAGTCTTTGGGGGTGAAGCTCAGAGTTCAGTATTTTTAAAACCTTCACAGATGACTCCAGTGTGCCACAAAACTTGGAAATCTCTAGTTTAGATGGCTCTAGTTTTTACCATAAATTTCACCATCTTCCAAAATCCCAACTTTTCTCCACCTCCACTCCAGCTTTTACTTAGTAGATTCCTTTTGGTGCCTGGGTGACATTGTGAAATACTGACACTTTCTTCAACTCTACTCCCCAGCATATGTCTGTCTTGACAACCCAAACCCAAACCAAATTGTAATTCCACACTTTTAGCCATCAGGTCCACCAATAACTACCATGGACCCCCGAACCAGCTCTAGGGTTAAAGCAAAAATGAAAAGGATCAGATTCCAGACAACCCTTGGAAGTTCATAAGAACTAAGGAACTTGAGGGTGGAGTGGGATCTGGGGACACAAAACTTTCCAGGGCTGATATTTTATGCAATATTTCACTTCTTGACCACAATAACCTGATATTATAGAGTTACTGTTGTTGTTGTTGTTGATGATGTTGAATGTCTTTGAGTCAGTTCCAACTCATAGTGACCATGTACAGGGTTTCCTAGGTTGTCAATCTTTGAGGAAGCAGAAAGCCTCGTCTTTTTCCCATGGAGCAGCTGATCGGCTTGAACCACTATTCTTCTCATTTGCAGTCCAGTGCTTATCCTACAGAGGCACTGTGTACCAAGGTATCATAGAGTAATGATTATTAATTACAGGAATGAATATCTTCCTAAGTGAACTTTGGAAATACAATTCACCTTAAGACTAAGTATTTATTGATTGACTGGCAGGGGCCATTCAAGAAATAATGGCCAAAAAATTTCTCAAACTGAATGATAAACAGTAATTTACACATCAAAGAATCACAAAAATCACCAATTAAGGTAAGTTCACAGAGATCCATACCTAAACAAATCACAGTCAAAAAAAACAAAGAGAGAATCTTGAAAGAGCATGAGAAGGACTCGTCATGTGCAAGGGAGTTTCCATAAGATTAAAAGTGATTTCTATCAGAAACCGTAAAGGTCAAAAAGCATTGAGATGACATAGTTGAAGTGCTAAAAAAGATAGTCAACCAAGAATTGTATGTGTCAAAAATGAAGGAGGCATTAAGGTATTCCCAAATAAACAAACTCAGATCAGTCATTACTAGCAAACAAGGAGTTTTTCAGGGTAAAATGAAGCAGCACTTGATAAGAATTAACATATATAAAGAAAGAAAAATAGCACTGGTAAATTTAACTACACAAGTAAATACAATAGACAATATAAATTAAGTTTGTTCTTCATCGTGGCAATTTCTTATTTCAGTACAATTTAAAAGTTAACTGGATAAAATAATAAGGATATGATTATGTTTATTGACTTACGTCACATAAAGATGTAATGTTGTATGACAATATGAGCATGAGGGAGGGGGAGAGGGAACAGCTATGTTGAAAAACATTTCTAAATACTATTTATAATAAGTTGGTATTCATTCTAACAAATCCGTTGTGGCAAATTGAGTCAATCTTGATTCATAGCCACCACATGTGTGTCAGAGTACAACTGTGATCCACTGGACAAAATAAATGGTAAACTCAAATGAGAAATGTCCCCATCTTACATTAATAGACCTCATACAAGCTTCATATATTTTCAGATTAAACATTTCTACTTATCAAAATTCAGTTATTCTCAATAGCCCTCTTGTACAGTAACCCCAAGTCTGGTTTCCTGCATACCATGAGAGATTGTAGAAGCCCCCATGTAGCCCAGACAGGGTCTCATATCTATTATTCCATTATTATCCATTCATTTTATTCCAAGGACTTCACAGGAACAGTGACAGGTTACTTGTGAATGTCAGAAGGCTTTGGGTTATGTGAAAGGTCCAGAAAGACTGACACCGAAGACTATGACTTCAGTCTCAATACAGTATGCACAGTTATACAGAGTTGTAGTAGAACATTAAGTACTTAGGTTTAGACAAATATGTGTGTGTGTGTAAATGTGTGTATATATTTTTCCATCTATCTTTCCTAACAGATTGTGAGCCACGCAACGACAGAAAAGTCACACAGTCATTAAATATGTCTCATATCAGCAAAGCCCTTGGGACAGTATCTGTGGTGAGGAATGTAAGCTAGAATGAATGCTGCAAGGTGATGGGATGGTTCCCATTAGGCCAGAATGAGAAGCAAGTAGACAGTCATCATAACTTCCTAGTTCCCTTTAGTCACAAATCTCAGAGAGTGTCCAGGAAGAGGATGGTCCTTGGAGTATATGACTCATTATCCTTCCACAGTTGTGAAAGCAGCAACATACCCTGGCTGTGCCTCACAAACCCAGCACAGGATAAAAGGGCTCCTGCCCTGAGGTCCTCATCCACAGACTCTTCAGAAAAAGACTGCCTCCACTGACCTGGTGAGTGTCAGGAAGGGTTAGAATCTCAGCTGACAGTGTTTCTAAAACAACCCCAGATCGAAAATGGAAGCAATAGGAGGACCATAAGGGGCAGCAGTGTAGCAGGTGATGATGAGAAAGGAGACTTAGACCACAGGGCAGAGTTCTGTGAGTTGTAAAAGCCACAGGAGCTCTGGGTTCTAACCATTTTTATCTGAGTACTTTGTCAGGGATGCACAGGAGTTCATCTGACGTCTGGAGGAGCCTCATTCAAATGCACATGTCCCTTCCATGTCTCCACTTTTCTCCCACAGGCCATGGCTTAGAAAGTAGCTTGATCATGCAGGACAAGAGCCACAAAGAGAGATAGCTGCCTGAAACTTCTGTGCTTACGTGTCTTTTATTTTTTTCAGGGTGAAACTCTTGCCAAGATGTCATGCCAGCAGAACCAGCAACGGTGTCAGGCTCCTCCCAAGTGCTCCTCACCCAAGTGCCCCCCCAAGATCCCTACACAGTTCTCGCCCCCAGTCTCCTCTGGCTGTGCTCCAAGCTCCGGGGGCTGCCATGGTCCCAGCTCCGAGGCTGGATGCTGCCTGAGCCACCACAGGCACCACAGGTCCCACCGATGCCGGCGCCGGAGCTCCAGCTGCAGTGATGATGGCAGTGGTCAGCAGTCTGGGGGCATCGGATGTGGCCACAGCTCTGGGCATTGCTGCTGACCTAGCAATTGTAAAGAAAACAATATGCTGAGGTCCAAGGATAATCCCAACCAGACCAGCTTTCACAGTCTAAGCAGTGTGGATGTTACTATGGAGGCTCAGAGCTCTGATCAGCAGACTCTTTCAGGACTTCCCAATTCCTCCTGCACTTACTGATGCATCTCAGGGCTGCATCTGACACTGTGGAAAATAAAGCTCCTTTTCACCACCTATGTATCACTGGTCGCTTCACTTTGTTGCTCCCTAGATGCCCCTCACTTCAGCTCTCTAGCCCATCACTATTATGCAGGAATGAGGAAGAGAATCCTTACTCTAGACCAAAAATATAAGGGCTCTGTCAGGTGTCTTTATGCTAGAAATGAGAAGGAAAGTAGAAGAAGAGGTAGTGGATTGAGACCTGCTGCCATCGGTAAAAGCACTGACTTTTCCCAGGAACCTTGTTGACTTCACAGTGGCATCACTGGATCATTGCTATAGTTGTTGTTAGGTGCCTTTCAGTCAACACTGATTCATAGCAACCTTATGCACCATTCTCACAATCATTGTTAAGCTTGAGCCCATTGCTACTGCTACTGTGCCAATCCATCTTGTTTACTTTTTCACTGAGCCTCTACTTTAACAAGCATGATGCCCTTTATCCAGGGACGGGTCCCTTCTATATCCAAAGCGTGAGAGATGAAGTCTCACCATCCTGGCTTTGAAATTTTTTCTTCAATAAATACGTGACATTTTAATGTTCTTCTTCAACACCATAGCTCAAATGCATCAATTCTTCTGGTCTTCCTTACTCATTATTCAACCTTCACATGTATATGAAACTGTTGAAAATACCATGGCTTGGGTCAGGCACACCATAGATGTCAAAATGACATCTTTGCTCTTGAACACTCTTAAGAGGTCTTGTACAGAAGATTTGCCTAATGTGATAGGTCCTTTTCATTTCTTAACTGTTTCAGTACCACTGTGTTTTGACAGAGTGGATTCAAGCAAAGTGAAGTCTTTGATAACTTCAATCTTTTCTCCATTTATCAAGGGGTTATTTATTGTTCCAGTGGGGAGGATTTTTGTTTTCTTTACATTGAGGTGCAATCCATACTGAAGGCTGTGGTCTTTGATCTTCATTAGTAAGTATTTTAAGTCTTCTTTGCTTTCAGAAAGCAAGGTTGGGAGATCCGACTTCTGGCACTTCCCTGACCAGGCAGTTCAGGTAGGGCAGTCTAGGGGAAAACGGGCAGAATCGCACATAGGAAACCTCTGTCTAGCAGACAGACAGCCTTTGAACAAACATAAGATCTTATATTTCAACATTCTAAACTCTTTTTTTTAAAGATCAAATTGCTGAGGAATTACAGGCATTTTGAGCTTTTGCCTGCCTGCATGCGGCTCCCGCTTCCACGCCCGCACCGGCGAGTGCCTCTGCACCAGACCTTGGAATGCAGGGCTAGAGCAACACCACTTAGAATGCTGCATTTCCAGAGAAAAGGAAGCATAAACTAACAAAGCCGAACAGAGAGGGATATCGGCGCAGATATTAGGAAATTTAGGGTACCCACTGTACAGAGAGACTGAGAGAGGCATCTTTTACGTCATCAAATACAGACACTACCTCCCTGCAGCCATTACCCCCAGCCCTCTACTGCCCCAGCCTAGACCAGCCCTCTGCCAAGCCGCCTAGGCTCAGGAATGCCCAAGGCACAGGCCTGCCCACTGAGGCTAAGGCCCAGACACTCCCACTGAGGCCAAGGCCTTCCCTGAGGCCCAACCTGCCCACAGAATGGTCACAAAGGCCCAGGCCCAACCAAGGCCCAACCCACTGCATAGCCAGGTCGCTGAGGCCCACAGCCCCTGAGGCCCAACCCGTCGCATAGCCCAGTTGCCAAGGCCCAGTGCCCCTGAGACCCAACCCGCCCTCAGCCTGGTCCCAGAGGCACAGGCCCCCCAAGGCTCAATCCGCCCAACCTACCCGCTGAGGCCCAAGACGCCCGATGCCCAGCTGCTGATACCCAGGACCCCTGAGGCCCAAACTGCCCACCTGAGGCCCAAACCACCCACCCTAGGACCAACCTTCTTGCAGCCCAGTCGCTGACGCCCAGGCCTCCAGAGGCCCAAACCGCCCGCCCTAGGCTCAACCCACTCGCCCAAGGCCCAAACGGCCTGCCACCGAGGCCCAGGCCCAACTGAGGCCCAAAAATGTTACTCTGAGTTAAGCAATAAGGAGAGTGAAAAG